TCTTTCTCAGGGACGGGGCACCCTATGGCACCCTCGTCCCGATCTTTGGAACCTCCATGTGTGGCTCCTGGACGGGACGAGGTAGGTTTGAGTACCCTACCACCAGCGGTAGGGATGGGAATTGATAAGATTTGATCAATATCAATGCCACTAACGATTCTGCTTATCGATCCGATTATTTAACGATTCTCTTATCGATTCCTGACAGCACTGTGTGGGAAAAAGTAGTCATATGCTTTTTCGGGGGAAAAAACAAGTGGTTTTATTTGTTTTAAAGCTTACACTTGACTAAGCAAACTGTACTTTTTATGTAATTTATGTAATAAATGGAACCTTATTGTAAAGTGTTACCGATTAGTTATACACCGATTAAACGTCCCGTGAGTTCAGTGTTGGAAAGATCAGTTGTTTTAACCATTTTATTAAAACGAATCGGTTCAAATGAGTCATTAGTTCGCGAATTGGACGTATCATTATCGGACGGACGTGTGCGCGTTGTGTGATTATCCCGGCGGTTGGGACATCCCACAAGATGTGTGTCATCACAGAAAACATTTCATCACTGGATCGTTTTTTTCGTTTATTTGAAGTGTGGTTTATGTCAGCTGAATGTGTGGAACGCTTTTCAGAGACGATAAGGCAACGTATTTTAGCACAATTCACACCCAGCGGTAATTCAGGAAAAACAAATCTCCGAATGCTCCACACGAAACTTTAGTCTCCCGACCTTACCATTGTGTCGTTTATTTTGATTAATATGTGCGAGGGAGAGAGAGCAAGACAGCGCTTAGTTTTGAGACGGTGAAGCCTACTTTCGCCTTGCTCCGAAGAGAGAGAGTGCGCGCGCGACCGGGGGGGTGTGTGTCTCTCTCTCTCTCTCTCTCTCTCTCTCTCTCTCTCTCTCTCTCTCTCTCTCTCTCTCTCTCTCTCTCTCTCTCTCTCTCTCTCTCTCTCTCTCTCTCTCTCTCTCTCTCTCTCTCTCTCTCTCTCTCTCTCTCTCTCTCTCTCTCTACAATATCGATGGATCGTAAAATTTAGAACCGGTTCTCGAGTGGAACCGGTTTTCAATTCCCATCCCTAACCAGCGGTGGTGGCTACCATCACTTCCGCTAGAGCATCGTCCACTCGACATGCCTATGCGTTGAAGTGGAACCTCTTTATCAACTGGTGCTCTTCTCACCGAGAAGACCCCAGAAAGTGCTCAATCAGTGTCGTGCTTTCCTTCCCGCAAGAAGGGTTGGAGCGAAGGCTGTCTCCCTCCACCCTGAAAGTGTACGTTGCCGCTATCGCCGGACATCACGACGCGGTTAAGGATAAGTCTGTGGGAAAGCACGACCTGATCATCAGGTTCCTGAGAGGAGCGAGGAGACTGAATCCTCCTCGCCCTCCTCTCGTTCTCTCTTGGGACCTCTCAGTGGTTCTAACTGCCCTGCAGAGTGCTCCCTTTGAGCTTCTGCAATCAGTGGAGCTTAAGTTCCTGTCAGTTAAGACAGCGCTCCTGGTTGCATTGGCCTCCATCAAGAGGGTAGGGGACCTGCACGCATTTTCTGTAGACGAAGCGTGCCTGGAACACACGTGATCCTGAGACCCCGGCCTGGAAACGTGCCCAAGGTTCCCACCACTCCCTTTCGAGATCAGGTGGTGAACCTGCAACCGTTGCCCCTGGAGGAGGCAGACCCAGCCTTGGCACTGCTCTGTCCAGTACGCGCCCTCCGTGCTTACGTAAGCAGAACGCAGTGTTTCAGGACCTCAGACCAGCTCTTTGTCTGTTATGGCGGGAAGCTGAAGGGAAAGGCTCTCTCCAAGCAGAGGCTGTCTCACTGGACTGGACTCACTGGATTGCTTTGGCATACCAGCAGCAAGGTCGTCCTTTTTTGGTGTGAAAGCCCACTCCACCCGGAGTGTGGCTTCCTCTTGGGCTCTAGCGCATGGCGCCTCGCTAACAGACATCTGCAGAGCTGCAGGCTGGGCAACACCCAACACATTCGCCAGATTCTACAATCTCTGATTGGAGGCAGTGTCCTCCCATGTACTCGCTTCAACCAGCCGGTACTAGGACCCGGTCAGGTGTCTTCGCTTGCTCGCCATTCCACTCCACGGACCGGATACGTGCGATATATTCCTCAGGTGAGCTTTCCCACAAGCCCTGAGTTCCTCCAGCGCTGTTGACGTCAACGCCAGAGTCTATGCCTGCGGCAGCTTTCGCATTGGCTAGGTGCCTCCATGTGCATGGTTCCCCACTGGTGACCCCCACATGTGTATTTCCACTGTAAGCCTCCTGGGGTTGAAACATTCCACGGAGTACACCCTAGTGTTTCTCCATATGCAGCCCCTCTGGGTCATATGTGTATTCTGTAATGACAGACTGTATCTAACATGGTTTTGTAATTCCTTTAAGAAATATTTAGCAACTTTTCGGTCAACTGTAGTACACAAAATCACAGAATACCCGCCAGGCACTCATATAGTTGTAAAAAAACTAGCTTTACATAGGAGATTTTTACAAAAACATAGTGGTGGATATATACCCCCACCTTCATCTACACAATTAAAGAGATTAATTCATCAATGTTTCCTCAAATAGTGCATTTTTATATCATAATTTCCTGTGGGACAGGACTGACCGTGCTGTGACAGGACTGACAGTGCTGTGACAGGACTGACTTTATGGATTTCGTTGATGCAGAAAAAGTCATGTTTTGTGTTCTTGTTATTCTCTTGAATACTTTTCCTTCTTTCCTTTTTCTGCCTCCATCTCCCCCTTTCTTTCTGAAGATGTTTCTCCTTACTCTCAGGGTCTGCATTTAGTCGTGCCCGACATTGCCTTTGTCTCTCAGCTTCACTAACTGGAGCCATCTAACTGCAATCTGTATAAATTGGAATAATTACAGTCATCATTACTCAAAGCTAATATAAATGACATTACTCAAAGCTAATATAAATGACAATTATATCTATTTATGTATTGATATATCATTCATATACAAAGTGCAACCCTTAAAAGCAGTGCTACATAGGCCTAGGAAAAAGGACAAAAAAAAAAAATGCAGATGAACATAAAAAGCTTCAAAATTACAGTGTAATGTCTATTTATTCAAATAATGTTTTACTATGGCATGCATTAAATACATATTATGCATTAAAGGTAATAAAAAAGAACAATGCCATTCATTTGTTAGGCTGTGTGACAGGACTGTCAGGCCCTGTCACATAGGGATGTGACGGGACCTGATGTGACGGGGCCTGACGGCCGCCATTTTAAGCTGCCATTACTCAGCCTGTTAGCATGCCATTAAAACCCATTATTTTCTGGGATGTTTTCCCGTGACAGGGCCTGGCCATTTAGCTCGTCCTCCTAAAAAAAACATACAAAAACAAATTTAAAATCATACAATTCAATGAGAGAACTTATCCTTGATCATGTCAGCTTCACCTCTGTCAAATGATGTCACTTCCTCTGAGTCATACCCTTAAAGGCGTATTGCACACATTTTATGTAGAGTTTTATGTAAACGTGACAGGACTGACCGAAAACATGGGGACAGTTAAAATAGTATTTTTTGTTTGTAGAATTTATGTATAATTTCATGTTTTTAATCAATTGATGTGAATGATAAGAAGTTAAACTTGTTATTGATGGAGTTATTTTCTAAATAACAGTTTTTAGCATAACAAAACTATGAAAGCTGTAGCTCCAATTTGGCTGAAGACAAGGACAAGGACAGGATTTGTAATTTTTAAAAGTGTTTTTAATAAAGAAAAAAATATCTGAGAACCTAATGAATGGCATATTTATACAGACTAACTCACAGAAAACAACCATCAGTCAGTTTTAGATTTTTTTTTTGGATGAAATACTTTGTATTCACTGTAACAGTTCAAGGACAGATAATGTACGTTTCAGTAAATCAAAAATGTGAGGGGTTAGGATATAAGCCTCAGTAATTTCGACAAAATTTTGCAGGCAACAACTATTTTCTATTGTCTATTTTCAATAGTGTAATGATGTATGAAGCACAGCTCACACAGAAATCACTTTCTAACCAAGTAGATATTTGTTGGTCAATGTCAGATTCCAGATCGTGTGGATTCCTATTGAAATGACTGGATTTCGCCCACGAAAATTCACCAAACAATGGTAAACGTGACTGTATTTTTAGAAACAAAAAGTTTTTCACATTCACTGTTAAATGTCAGATCAAAGTACATTTAAAAAAATCTGAATGGACCTTAAGGCATTAAACTCATCCATTATATAATGCTGATTCATTTTTTCAGAGCCACAGCAAATAGTGACTGACACAAAGGATATTTAGTATGACAAAGCAGTCGCATAACTTTCAAATCAAATCTAAATATTCAGTGCCATCTCACTAAAAACACATATTCTGTTGTGAATGATTTATTTATAATGCTGCATATAGAAAAACTTACAGAAACACCAGCACACAGATCTTCTATTTTACAGCATCAAACATGTTCAGACAGAAGGTCTTAATGTGAGTGACAATCAGACAATTACATTGGACATTTACATTAGTACAAGAGATTTGCATCAGCGTACAAGCACAATACATTTGTCACCACCAAAGCATGAAAATTATGCATTGTTGCAAGAGGCGTTTCTTATTGTGTTCGGCTTTTCTATGAAGTCCATGGTAAATCAGAGAAACAGTGCGCACGTCACTTCCAGCAGTCATTTGATGATTCATTTCAATCACTCCAAAGGAATATAGTTGAATAAGACAGCTTAACCAAATTGCTTTGTTGTCCATGAAAGCAGGTTAAAATTGCTTTGTTGTCCATGAAAGCAGGTTAAAATTGCAATATGATTCAAGGGAAACACTGAATGCTGAACATTTTGAAAAAACAATTTTATCTTACATAATTTACCTTTTCTGTGAGCATAAGTGAATACTGTACATACTTTTTTCTTCTTTCAACAAATAAAGCAATAGTAATTAACATTTAAATGTTAAAGGGGACTTAAGAGGCAACTATAAGAGAATATATATATATATATATATATATATATATATACTTCTTCAATACTGGACCAATCTAACAGATACATCAGATGCATGACTGTGAACATCACAGATAGTGAAATAAGCTCAGCTTATCGGGGTAATTTGGGGTCAATAATATAGTATTTATATCATATTTCACACTGATATCTACTTTAACAGTCTTTCTCCATACCAAAATTGTAAAACAGCTCTTTAGGGGAGGCCTAGCAAGATGCATAAAGAGGTTCAACCTACGGCAAGTCCTATAGATGAGGGTGTTAGACACCTGTGGTGACCTGCGTGACCTCCGAGCTCATGTCAACACTGGGTTGGCAGTGGGACTCCAGTGATGACATCTCCAGGACTAGTCATACCTGCTGATTTGTCCTGTCAACCGTGTTGCCACTGGACTGGCCCTCACGCTGGGGGTTTCTGGTGCGCGTGGAGTTCTGCAGGTCCAGCACGGAGGGACTGGGAATACAGAACTCCCTGAAACAACGCTTGAAGTTCTCATCCAGGAAGGCGTAGAGCACCGGATTGAGGCAGCTGTTGGTGTAGCCGAGAGCGATGCAGAAATGCCAGCTGACGGTCTGCAGGAGTGAGCTGGGAATGGTCACCAGGGCCTTGATGATCACAAAGATGTGGATCGGCGTCCAGCAGACGATGAAAACCGCCACCACCACCAGGACCATACGGGTGATGCGCCGTAGGTTGCGGTCCTTCTCCTTAGAACCAGACAACATGCGCACACTCTTCAGGCGGAGGATCATCAAGCCGTAACAGACGGTGATGATGAGGACGGGCATGATGAAGGCAAAGATGAAGACGCAGATCTTCAGGAGGTTCTCCCAGTACCAGGTAGGGTGGGGAAAGAGCAAAGTGCAGTCAGTGACTGCGAACGCTGTGAAAATAAGAAGTACAATAACACAGTGAGACATGTGTGAAAATCAATTCATTTACAAAGATGACAGTTAAACTACCAGTCATTATTTCCTCAAGGCATTGTTTAGGGAGCCTCAGAGACACAGGCTATTAAACCATCTTATGATTTTCTCCCCAAATGTCTAGAAGTGACATTAATCTAAAATTTTCTGCCTCACTTCTCTCGTGTCTGCAAAATTCGTGTCAACACAGTAACAAAACTGAACATTTCCAGTATTGAGAAAACCGTCTTAATGCATCAAGAGGAGATTAAGCTAAGAACCGGGTGAATGCAGTGGTTCGCTCCTTGTGGTGCGCAACAGGTCTTGCGGACAGAATATAAAAACTGGTACTGTATGTTTTTTTTCTAAATATGATTATTTTATTGTTTTATAGAATACTATTATTCATTTATCCAACAAAACTGTCTAATGACATTTTCATGACCAATCGTAATGGTTATTTGTTGATTTAGAAATGTTCATAACCAAACATTTACCCAACTGCCACCAGTATTGACTAGATTTAAATTATTGCCATAGGTTTTTGTCGTAGGAAAGTCTGTGCATCTGATCAGACTATTGGAATTTTGTATGTTGGCACAACATCATCTGTCGCTTTGTGGAAGCTAGTCAAAAGGCAATAGTTCATTTCAAAACATAAACATTATTACATGTTTTTCATTGTAATTGGCCTAGAAGAGGAATAAAAAGAGGAATTTTAATAAAAAAAGGAACAAAATGAAAAGAATTCTATTATCAATTCACCCATATGTCTTACTAAACCTGTGTGACTTTCTTGCTTATACTTCTTATTTTACATTGACTGTACATAGGAGAATGTGGTGGTAAACATACAACTGCCTTGGTACTCAATAGTGGTGGAGGCCATGACCATGACAGGGAGACCGATGGCAGATGAAAGGATCCAGTTACACACATTGACAATCTTGGCGTTTCTGGGGGTTCGGAAGTCCAGGGCTTTAACCGGGTGGCAAACAGCGATGTAGCGGTCAACACTCATAGTGGTGAGGGTAAAGATACTGGTGAACATGTTGTAGTAATCAATGGACATCACAATCTTGCACAGAACGTCTCCAAAAGGCCATGTACCCATCAGGTAGTTCACACTCTGGAAGGGCAGAGTGCTTGTTGCCAAGGCATCTGCTAAAGCAAGATTGAAGATGTAGATGTTGGTCGCAGTTTTCATTTTGGTGTATCTGCAATAGATAAAAATAGATCGGAAAAACAATTTGAACAGGGCGAGTAATGGGTATGTGAAGGTACTATAGAAACGGACTTGAAAAAACACCCCTTTCCCCATTTTATATTATATATATTATGATTTCAGTTACAATACACATTGTGCTTCAAGCCATTAAGTACGGTACCATGTGCATCTTGTAATGCAACTATGACCTTCATTGAAATGTTAATTTAAGAGGCCAGATAACCACCATTATCTACACCATTATGCAAATACACTTTCCACAATACCACTGCAGTAATGTTTCAGACATATTTTACCAGCTTTTCAGCACTTTTTTTCATCCAATTTAAAAATAGGAATATGTGCTGAGGTGTACAGATTTACGGCAATGCTGTTTTAAGTATTACATCATATACTTGTCTATTCAGAAATACACAGGTTAAATTTTAACAGGATAAGTAATCCAAAGTCCTCTTGTAAAACATATATGCAGGCAGACGAATGGAAAAGTACAATTACAAAAAAGGATGATTTAAACCTGAAGTTTAGGAACTTTCAAATAATTTTTAAGGAACTTCAGAAGTTTAGGAACTTTCAGAATACTTGTAATTTCAAAAGAGACGGATGGATGGATGGATAGATATTTTGTTCAGTCTGGAAGACACTATGATTTCGATTTTATCGCAAAAAGAAATGTTAAACCTGATCATAGATGTAACCCCAAGCTTGACTTTCATAATACCACTGTTGGAGTAGCATGGAAGAATGGTTTGCACACATCAGTAGCACAGAAAGCTAGTTACACAAGGCATTTGTGCCTTAACTGAGTTGCACATTTTGTGATGAATTGGAAAGATACCTTTGATGTGGAAAATGGAAGGTAATTTTCATGCTATTGTCTGAAAGAGAACCCCATGAATGATAGAGCAACAGGGGGATCTTTCAATCGCTGAAAAAATTAGATATTGATCTAAACAATAATTTAGTCTAGAATAATAAAAACTGAGTGCAAAGTGGTTGCCTGCATCAATCTAAATACATAAGCTTTTTGTGAATAATGCATAATTAATGGATACTTGGCTCATTTCCATGAAATATATCGATATTTAGCACCTCTTTTCTGTCTTTAGGGCCTCTGTCCCGTCTTTAGGGCCTCTGTCCCTTCCGTAATGGGGCGTTCTGAGACTGTATATCAAATCACATCCTTACTTTATCAAGAAATTGCAGATCTATCTGGTTCATTCCTTTGAAAACTGCATTTAATTTCCTGGGAATGCTGGGGACTTTTATTTAGAGAGACGCTTATACAGCTGGTATTCTTTTGTAGTAAACTCTACATCCAGATGAAAGAAAAACATACTTTAAAGACTCTATGTTCCTTACCGTTCTTCTGGGCAAGATAATAAACAAGATGAGTCATGCGGCAATCTGGACTATGAAGATACACAATTTCTGATGTATTGCAATAGCAGCAGAGATGATAAATTAAGAGCATTTGCACTATGTAAACTACCATCACTGTAAAAACGATTATGGCTTGTCAGAGATCCAATGTTTGACTTTCACAGAAATATACATAAGTCAGGACACAGTCTAGTCCATCCAAATATATACAGTCAGCTATAGAAATATAGCTAGTGTGTGGACAAAACGACATCTGCAAAAAACAGCAACTGCAGTTCTGCTTAGCTGGCTGTCACAGGCCAAACTGAAGAAAACACAAAAGGTCTCAGACATGAATAAGGACAGGCTAAGTCTATATATATATATATATATATATATACACACACACACACACACACATATATATATATATATATATATATATATATATATATATATATATATATATGTGTGTAAAAACTGTATCATGGTCATGGTGGGCATAAGAGACTTCTTTCAAAAGCATTAAATATCTTACAGACCCCAAACTTTTGAACGAAAGTGTATTTATTTAAATGAATGTTCACATATTTATTTTTCTAAATAATTTTTTGCAACTTTTATCTTATTTTAATTGTTAAATTGAATTGTAAAAAGGCCATCATGACCAGTGTTGGGTAAGTTACTCTAAAAAAGTTATTTACTAGCTACATCTTCAACAGTGTAATTAGATTACTGTACTAATCACTCTGTCTAAAAAGTATTGCATTACTCATTACTAATTACTTTCTAAATCCCATATCAACCTCGAACCAGCTGAACAATACCAGCATGAAACGGCTCTTTTAATTCTTTCAAATAAATAATACAAAATCGCATAAATTATTCTTGAACTGGTTAAAGTATTTAAAGGGTGAAGGTTGCATTATAAACATTACATTTTTTACCAGTAGACATTACATTTTGATGTTAAATATTGTTTTATATAGAATTGTTTTATAGTCTGTACCCTCTAAAAAAATGCTGTGGGTTGTTTCAACCCATGTTTGGGTCAAACAGACAAACCCAACCATTTGGTAACACTTTAGTTTAGGGACCAGTTCTCACTATTAACTATTGCTTATTAGCATGCATATTACTAGGATATTGGCTGTTTATCAGTGCTTCTAAAGCACATAATAATGTCTTATTCTACTTGAACATAATTCTACATCCCTTACCCAATACCTAAACTTAACAAATACCTTATCTTTTAATAATCAGTAATAAGGAGTTTATTGAGGCAAAATTCGTAGTTAACAGTGAGAACTGGACCCTAATCTAAAGTGTGACCAAAAAAATTATTTTTTTAATTTAAATCAACATTTGGGTTTGTCCATATTTGACCCAAACATGGGTTGAAACAACCCAGCATTTTTTAGAGTGTTCAGTAAATGCAATTATATCAGATGTAACTGTAATTAAATTACAGAAAAATTAAGTTTTTTTTTTAAATTACAGTAATTAAGTACTTTGTAATGCATTACACCAAACACTGATCATGACATTCTCTGTAACAGATCAAATGAAAATGAAATTTTAAAAAGCGTTGAAAACAATTCTATTTTTCAAAATGTTTCGACAGCTGTAAAGCATTTGTGAAAATGCCTAGACACAACACCCTTCCCCACAGTGAGGTGGACGAATTCATTCATCACTAACTAGAAGTCGCATGTAAGGGTTTAGGCCAGATGCCATTACTAATGATTAGTTTGTCATCCAAGGGCTCTTTGCACCAGACAAATGGTCACACCGTTTATTTTTCCCACGAGGCGCTGACTAATTATGAGGGCATCTCAGGGACGCACTGTTCCTCTGTACTCCACATTAAAGACTTCAGAGGTGAAATGCCAGACCCTTGAGTCTTTTCACTGAGTGGAGGAGCTGCTCTTTGGTGTTGAGAACATCACTTACTGGAAGGCAAGCACATTAAAAATGTATTTATCTTCCTTGCTGTATCAACACTGATGGTTAGCAGTATATGTTGTGTTTTGGATGCTGGTGAGCAGTTTTTTACAGCAAGATTACAGTACATCTATGTCCTCCCTGAAGCTTTGTAAATCAACCAAGGGAAGTTTACCAAGAGAATAAACGCATTTCGGACAACATGCCTGGCAACCAAGACCTCTGATTAACCTAGGAAGGTGTGCAGTATTGCTTATGGAAAGAATTAGGACTGTCAACCAACAGCTCAGTGCAGAGTCCATAAGTTCAGAAAGGACATCGACCTGCTAACTCCGAGATGAAGACAGACACATGTCTTAGTTAACATGTTTTCTACAGATAGCTGTCAAAAGTAACAATTATTCAAAAGTTAAAACAGGAGTGGAATGTCTGTCGTTTAGAAGGTGGTCTTTATTCATGTCAATTTGCTTGAGTGAAGCCGAACTGATTTAAAATTTATGAGTATAATTATTTTTTCTCTGCCTCTAGCATGTAGTGCTCAATGATGAAACATGACAGGTAAAAAAAAGAAAAAACATCTTGTGAAAATAGGGCTTTTAAATACCCTGCTTGTGCACCTTCAAGGCATTGATGGTGAGAATATTTGTGACAAGACAATCCATTTTCTTCTGTTACGGTTGTATTCTCAATGTTATTTCCATAAATTACTTTTAAAGAAAAATATTTGAAAGAATACTGTTTAAAACTCAGAGTCATGTCTTTATGTTAAATAAAGAATAGGCTATACTCTCAAAATTGTATGAAGACAAACCATAAAAGTGCCATTTCACTCACATTAGGCTGTTTTTTTTTTAACTTTCTATTCATCAAAGAATCCTGAAAAAAATGTATCACGGTTTCCTATGAAATTAAAATATTAAGCTGCACAGCTGTTTTAATAATAAGAACACTGGTAATAATAATAAATGTTTCTTGAGCAGCAAATCAGCATATTAGAATGATTTCTGAAGGATCATGTGACATTAAAGACTGGAGTAATGATGCTGAAAATTCTGCTTTGCCGTCACAGGGATAATTTACATTTAGAAATATATTAAAATCAAAATTATGTACTTTAAGTTGTAATAATATTTCACAATATTACTGTTACTGTATTTTCTATCAAATAAATGCAGCCTTGATGAGCATAAGAGACTTATTTTAAAAACATTAAATCTTTAACAGAAGTTTATTTATTTAAAATAACGTGCAAACATTTATTTGTTTAAATTCGTTTTTGCATCTCTTACATTTTAACTGTAAAATATGAGTATTCTTATTACTATTTTCATAAATCACAAATGAAAAGCTTAATTTAATAAAAAGGATACAGTTTAAAACTGAGGGTCATGTCATTAAATAAACAATACTGTTAAATTTGTATGATGACATTTCAAAGACAATGCATTTGTAAATGACTTTTGTTGAAGACAAAGAACTTGAAGGAAGAGTGTAGTAACCAGGCAAATCAGATTTTGTTGTGGAAAAAACCAAGGACTTGCTTGTTGCTAGGGAACACCAGAATATGTGCAGATTTCTTATACCATACCTATGTGCAATCTGCTCATAGATATGGACATAATGCTATGTTAAATTACATTAAGAAAACACTTGGAACAAATGAACTTTCTGGTGTATGTGCAT